CCTGATAAATCCACTTTAAATGCCAATTTCCCTAAGCCTTTGGATACTTCTTCTACAGTATACCAAAGTAGGTCTGGTATTTCAACTTGATTTAATGTAGGCCACTGCATAATCCATGCTTCAGCAACCCAACCAAATAAACTATTAGATCTTTTCCTAACTTCTTGAGCTAAAACACTGAATGAAGAATCTGCTTAGTAGGCCCGTATCAATAAACTCAGACTGATCCATCTTTATGTTCCTTGCATCGTTATCTCACACCCTTAATAGCCATTCCCACATATATTCCCCAGGTTTCTGTTTGTACATATTAGATAAGTCAAGAAGTTCTTTTGGAGTGTAGTGTACCCCCTCCTGGGTCACACTTTGTACTTCATCTTTTGGGGCTCACTGTGACTTAAGTCTAGTTACAGGTCTAGAAGCCAAAATGGGTGGTGGGGATGTGTTTTGAGAACATTCAGCATTGTCTTGTAAAGCATCTGCCTTAGGTGATGTCCCAGGCAATGACTCAGGCAAAGGCTCTTTAGATACAGCTGGGTTAATCTCATCAGATGGGGGTGGACAGGCTAATGTTTTTACTGGAGAAGGTGGTTTAACAGACAAAAATGGAGTAATCTTTCAGATGGGAGAGGGCTGGTTCTGTTGGCAGGGATGATTCAATGGAATTTAGGGGCTCAGTGTCCCCAGCTTCCTGATTATCTGCCCATATGTACCTATCCCAAATTTTAGGATCCCTTTTCTTTTCAATCAATGACCTCACTTTAACTTCAGATACCACTCAAGCTTGGAAATTCAGTTGGAATTGTAATTCAGCCACTCTTATGATAAGATTCTGGGTTTGGTTTTTGGCAATATCAACTCTGTTACTACAAGAAATAAGTCTTTCAAGGCACAAGTGGAAACTTTGAGGTTGTTTATGTTGCACTTGAGCTTTGACTCTGAAGCCCTGAGCTCATCTCTTTCTTTCACCACTTTGTCTAGTGAAAGTGGGACCAACCAACCAGCTTCCTTATATTTCTCATTATGACAAAATTGTAGAAAGATATCAAACATGCAATCACCCAGAGCCTCGCCTTTCACCAACACCTGATCTGCTGGTGGTGATATTTTGTGTATTTCTATTGCCACCTTATGCCATGGATTAGCAGTGCCCTCTTTACTACTGGAAGCAGAGTCATCAACATCTTTAAGGCTAACCAGACTTGAAAACCAATTTAGAAAATTCATCCTTACAATTTTGTTCCTCTAGAACCACTCCTGGTACCAAATGTCTTAGGCTGGGTTCTCTAGAGAAGGAAAATCAGTAAAGCATATAAATATACATACGTTGTTAGGTGCCATCAAGTTGGTTCTGACTCATAGTGACCCTATGTATAACAGAATGAAACATTGCCCGGTCCTGTGCCATCCTCACAGTAGTTGTTATGCTTGAGCCCATTGTTGCAGCTACTGTGTCAGTCCATTTCATTGCGGGTCTTCCTCTTTTTTCATTATATACTTGTATACATATATATACACACATATAGAGATTTATAGTAAGGAAATGTCTTACACAGCTGTAGACGCTGAAATGTGGATCAGGCTGAAGGCTGTTACTGATTCATGTAGTGACGGGCTGGGGAACCCAAGATCAGCAAGTCAGACAGCGGGGCTCTGGCTCACAGGCTGTGAAGACCAACAAATCCCAAGATCAGCATGCAAGGCGGCAGGTGAGCTGCTAGCTCAAGTCCCAAGAACTGGAGGTCAGACAAACAGGAGCCAACTGCAGGATCCAGTGTGAGCAAAGCCCACAAGCCTTGCCAGAAAGTCCACTTACATTTGGATGCAGGCCACACCCCCAAGGAAATTCCCTTTCAACTGGCTACTCACAGCAAATCCCATCATGGAGGTGATCACATTATATCAAATCTCATCATGGAGATGACTGCATCACTATACAACTGCCAAACTACATCATAACTGCCAGACCACTGAGAATCATGGCCCAGCCAAGCTGACACACAGCGTTATCACAGCCTCCCTTCATATTATACTGTCTCTGTTCTTTTTACTCCAAGCTGCCAGTTATTTCTACAAATGTATTTTCTCTTAAAACACTGTTATTGCCAGACCCACTTACTGAGTTTCTGGCAGGTGATACAAATGGAAATCTGGGACAAGAGAATTGTAAAATTAGAAAGCATAGCAAAGTTAACATTTAAGTTACACCTATAAAGACAATTCATTCATCCATTTGCTATGATCCCTGTCTGTCTTAATTTGGGTTCCCACACAAGCAAACTATGAGACAAGAATTCAAGTGCATAGTTTGCTTATGGTGGGATCTCAAGAAACACTGATGTAGAAGTGGGGAAGTGAGAGAAGAAAGGAAAGGAAGCTAATAAAAGTTGCCTTATAAAGCAAGCAACCACTGTAAACAACAGAAGCTTAAACCTTCTGAAGAACCATGGAAGAATAATTCTTCTCCAACTTTAGAGTACATAAATATCACCTGTTTAAACACAGATTCCCAGGCTCCACTCTTAGAAATTCTGATTCAGTAGTTTTGGGGGTGGGTTCCAAGAATTTGCATTTCTAATAAGCTCCCAGACAATGACAGCGTTGATGTTACTGGTAAGTGGACCATACTTTGTGTAGCACTCATATAGAACATATTTCTGAGGGAGTTATCCTGTCTAAGAGGCAAGGGAACTGGAGTATTTATCCATCAACTCCTGATAGTCATTGCTTAAAAGGACTGCTCTTAAGGAACATTAATTCCTTGGTACTTCCAACCTACCTGTATGCGGGCAGAACAAGTGTCTGCAGCCAAGAGAAAACCCTCAGAAAAAGAGTCACAGATGCTGGCAGTTGTAAATCAGGCTTGCATGCACAAGAATGAAAAGTGCCAAGGATATGTTTGGGGCGACGGAAGGCACTGCTACATTGCTATGGTGTCATGAGAAAAATAAACATTAACCAAGAAATTACACAACTAAATTAAAATTGTAATAAGTGCTATAAAAGTAAATTACATGAGACTATTTCTAAAAATAACTGGTATTACAGATGGCATCTTCCTAGAGTTGTTGACGAGGACCAAAATATTGTACTGTTTTGAAAATCCGATTAAACACCAACTCTAGCTCAATATTGCAGAGCAGCAGCCATTATTCAATATATACTATCTTATTTGGAGTCACTGTGATTAGCAGTGTACATTACGAATGTATGCAGAATCATTATTAAGTCTTCCATTTTGTCTCACCTGTATAGAACTTAACTAGGTTTACTTTACACTCAATATTATTTACTTTGTTTTATATATCTTAAACAGCAAATATGAAAAGAAAGCTACATTTACTTCAATTGCTTTTTATTTTTCATGAAATGTTTTCACCAAGAGAAAACCTAAACCAGTAGGTATTTTGAGAAGTATTTTACAATCTATTATCTAAGATACCATTTTATTTTGTAAATCTATTTCCTTTCCAAATATTTTTATCTCCTTTAATAATTATCTTACCTATTCCCAAGGTGTGTAGTCATTGTATTAGAAAAGTCCTGATGTCTTCTTCACCTTACTGAGCTTAACTGTCATACTGTGGCACTGATAAAAGGAGAAATAGCTGTGGACTTTTGTAATGAATTTGCTTTCAATATTGCTAGACTTTGATTTGGAAAAAATCCGTTTATTTGATATTTGAAATCAACCCAAGATTCACAGCTCAATCTTATTCTAATTTCAGCAGTTAGAGTCTTCTTTTTCCATACATCAGTCTTCACTGTTACAGGAAGTCAGATTTTTGTAAAAATAATGCTCAGGATAATCCACGATGGAATACCTTTCATGTAATATGAGGATGAAAATCTGGCCTTCTGAAAAACTATGAATGTACATCAGATAATTATATTCCCCTTTCATGAGATGATTACTACACTTTCAGGAAATTGTTTAAGAACTAACTGTGCTGTCTTTGAGGCAGCAAAAACAACCACCTAAAACTAGATAAAAATCTGAAGATTGCTACTGTTTATAAAGTAGCTGTTGGTGTTTCTAAATTGTTCTGCTTCAGATCATCTCTGTAACACAAACTATTGAGTGGTATGTGCATATGTGAAAATGCAATATCTAATTATCTTTTTGTTTAAAGACACAGAAACCCCTAACAATTTTATTTTTGGTTTAGTTAGATATCAGAATGCCCCCTGCTGTGCACTTTGTAATATATCCATACAAATGTCAATTTTAGAGTATCAACATTTAAAATCTTCTTGACCAAAAAAAAAAGCATTATGTTGGAAACAAAGCCTATATTTTAGAAAAGAGACATACTGATACAATATTTACGAAAAGAATCTTAACATTAAAATTAGTGAACCTAAATAATTTTTTAAATTTTTAATCAATTCTTTTATAAAAGCTTTAAAACATTTTTCAATACTGAAGAGAAACATTTTCCTCTGAATTAATACAAGCATCAACAAAAAAATTTTATTCAAACAAAATAGAAAATATATTTTATCTAAAAATTAAGGCTATAAATTTTTTATTTGGGTATCATATTACAAAGATAAAGTAGTTAACAAAACATATTTGATATTATTTAGTATTACTTTCTGCCTTAAAACCTTGGAAGAACATTTTTGCTAAAAGATGCAACTGCACAAAATTTTAAAATAAATGCAGTAAGGAAGGAAGCACTCAAACATATTTTTAATCCCCATAAACAATAATCATCATAAGAATGATAAATGGTAAATTTACATATATAGAATTTCCTAAAAACTTGAAGATATACTAAAGCTATTAAAGAAATGTCTATGTAAAAGATTAAATGCATAAAGTAATAATATTAAAACACTTTAAAACAAACCATAAATATACCCTCTAAATTCTTTCACCTTATGCTTAGCTACAATTTTCTCATTCCTTATTAGGTTAATGAAATTCTAAACTAATAGTATTGCCTTCACAGGTCAAGTGAAATGCTAAAATCCCAGGCTGAGATTTTAGAATATTAGTTGTTCTTAAGGATTTCCTGCCCTCCAGTGGTGTCTGCCTTAATATTTTCACTGCACCTTTCAGTATTACAAAGAGAAGCCACATCACTTCTACATTTACATTTTGAAATTATATCACACTGTATGGCGGCATCTAATTTTTCTTTTATTGCTTGTTCACTCTCTGTTTGTACCCATGCATCACATTTTGCAGCCTGCAGAATGCAGTCATTATTGGTTTTGTTTTGCAATATGTATGCTGAGTTACATTGCGACTGTGGAAACTGATCTGAATTATTTTTCATTGAGAACCGGTGAAAAATCTCATTCTGTTTATGAATGCTGGCATTGTTTTTAATACTCCTATCATCTGGAAGTTTTGACATCGTGTTTAGATAAACATTATTACTTGTTTCTTTGGTTTTAATGAATCTTCTTCTATTTGAATCTTCACTTTGCTGCAATATTTGATCTTCATCTTCAGATGGCTAAAAGAAATTTAACAATTTTGCTGTAAAAGTTTCACATAATCACTTTAAAACAGACATTCTTAAAAATCATGCTAAAAAACTTCTAAATACAGAAGAGACTATGATAAGTCAAAGCAGGTATACTGTCAAAGAATCTTCAAACTATAATCTACCACCTCCTGGAAGGTTATAGATTTTTACCAAGAACAATAATAATAATCTTTATTCTAGAAATTCAAAAGGGATTAAAAAAAAGAGAAGATTTTTTTCTTTTATTAGTCCCCCTAATTATAGACTATATCAACCTCTTAACCTTTCACACAGAAGAAAAGAGCTCTTTAACCACTAAAAAGAATAGAAGTAATACCTTTGAAAGGAATAGCTAACACAAATAACTTGTTCTATTATTCAGTCATTGACCCACTCATTCAAAATATACCTATTATATACTTTTTATGGGCATGGTCTCATGAAAGATATAACATATAAATACTTAAGGTGACTATTAGCTATCAGAAAATCAAACAGATGAAAAAAAATTAAATAGCAATAAGTAACTAAGCATTATCTAAAAAGTCAACCTTTAAGAACATTAATAGGTCTAGATTGAAGTTTGTTACCTTGAATTTCTCAACCTCATGAAAAATTTCTCTGAACTATATAAAATATTCCTTTTATTAAAATCTTATGTAAAAGTACTGATTATTCAAATTAATAGAAAGCAAAGTATAAAAAAAACTTAAAATGGGGCAGAAAACACAGCTGATCAGCACTTAAATAGCAAAAGTAAGTCCAAGAAATAGCACTGAAACTGGCTGGGCACAAATTGGAGAAAGTAAGCTCAATACATTTATTTATTCAAGAGATACTCATCGAGCATCTGTAATGTGAGTGAAACAGGCCCAGCTGCTGTCTTCTTAGAGCACACATTCTAGTGAGGGTAAATGACATTAATCAAATAATCATACACATATGTGTATAATTATAAATTGAGAAGAGTGTTATAAAGAAATAATACGAGGCACTTTGAGAGCATAACACCAAATCCATTGCTGTCTAGTCAATTCCAACTCACAGTGACCCTTGAGGACAGAATAGAACTCGACATAGGGTTTCCAAGGTTATAAATGTTTACAGAAGCAGACTGCCACATCTTTCTCCCAAGGACCAAGCTGGTGTGTTCAAACCACCAATGTTCTAGTTAGCAGGCTAGCGCTTTAACCACTGTGCCACCACGGCTCCTTTGAGAGCATAACCAAATGAAAAACCCAAACTCGTTGCCGTCCAGTAGAGTCCGACTCATAGCGACCCTATAGGACAGAGCATAACTTCCCCATATGGTTTCCAAGGAGTGGCTGGTGGATTCGAATTGTTGACCTTTATGGTGAGCAGCTGATCTCTTAACCTCTGCACTACCAGGGCTCCTGAAAGCATAACAGAGGGGCCTAATTTAGATTGAGGAGGCAGAGAGGCACTTTTTGAAGAAGTAACATATTTAAACTGAAACTTAGAGGATAATAAGAGTAAAGTATATTAAAAGTATTCTAGGAAGAGGAAACAAAATGTATAAAAGCCCTGGAAAGCAGAAAAGGGACTGACTCCAAGGAAAGTGAAATGTCACTATATGTGCAGCACAGTGAGAAAGACAGAACAATACTAGAAGAAATTAGGGATGTAGCCAGGGGCCAGATTACACATGGCCTGTAGCCATGGTAAGGAGTTTAGATTCTAAAGTAACGTAGGAATCAACTAAATAGTTAAACATGTGAACAACATGATTCAATTTTTGTTTTCAAAAGATCATAATGACTACTAGAGAACAAAGTGAGACAAGAGTGGAAATAGAGACATCTCTTAGGAAACAAACATGTAAGTTCAAGAACAAGATGATGTTACCTTAGACTTGCGTATTGACACCACAGATTAAGTAGAAAAATCTGCAATTTATTTTGGAGGCAGAATTGCTTGGATGATGCAGTGATGGATTGAAAGTAGCTGGGGGAGACAAATGAGACAGAGAAAGAAATGACAAAGTTGACTACTCAGTTTCTGGCATGAGCAATTGGGTGGATGGAAAGGTATCTACTAATATGGGAAATATGAGAAAAACTGACTTGAGGAGAAGACCAGGGGGTTTGGTTTGAGATAAGAAGAGAGAGAAATTTTTTTTTTTTTTTTTACTATTGTTGTACTTTAAGTGAAAGTTGACAACTCATACAAAATTTATACATAGTTATGTGATTCTAATTGCTCTCCTATACTGTGACAGCACACTCCTCCTTTCCACCCTGTTCCCGTGTCCATTCAACCAGCTCCTGACCCTCTCTGCCTTCTCATCTCACCTGTGGACAGGAGCTGCCCATTCAGTCTCATGTATCTACTTGCGCTAAGAAGCACACTCTTCACTAGTATCATTTTATGTCCCATAGTCCAATCTAATCTTTGTCTGAAGAGCTGGTCTTGGGAATGGTTTTAGTTCTGGGTTGACAGATTCCAGAGGGCATACTTTCTGGGGTTCCTCCCGTCTCAGTCAGACCATTAAGTCTTGTCTTTTTACTAGAATTTGAGTTCTGCACCCCACTTTTCTCATGCTGCATCAGGGACTCTGTGTTGTGTTCCCTGTCAAGACAGTCATTGGTGGTAGCCGGGCACCATCTAGTTCTTGTGGTCTCAGGCTGATGCAGTCTCTGGTTTATGTGGCCCTTTCTGTCTTTTGGGCTAATACTTTCCTTGTGACTTTGGTGTTCTTCATTCTCCTTTACTCCAGGTGAGTTCGGACGAATTGATGCATCTTAGATGGCCGCTTGCTAGCTTTTAAGACCCCAGCCGCCACTCACCAAAGAAGGATGCAGAACATTTTCTTAATAAACTTTGTTATGTCAATTGACCTAGATGTCCCCTGAAATCATGGTCCCCAGACCCCTACCCCTGCTACTATGTCCTTTGAAGTGTTTGGTTGTATTCAGGAAAATTCTTAACTTTGGTTTACTCCAGGGGTGCTGACTTCCCCTGTAGTGTGTGCTGTCTTTCCCTTCCCCTAAAATAATTCTTGTTCACTATCTAGTTAGTGAATAACCCTCTCCCTCCTTCCCCACCCTCATAACTATCAAAGAATGTTTTCATCTCTGTTTAAACCTTTTCTTGAGTTCTTATAATAGTGGTCTTATACAATATTTGTCCTTCTGTGACTGACGAAATTCACTCAGCATAATGCCTTCCAGATTTCCTCCATGTTATGTTTCACGGATTCATCACTGTTCTTTATTGTTGTGTGGTAAGTATTCCATTGTGTGAATATACCATAATTTGTTTACCCATTCGTCTGCTGATGGGCACCTAGGTTGTTTCCATCATTAGCTATCATGAACAGTGCTGCAATGAACATGGGTGTGCATGTAACTATTTCTCTAGGATATATTCCAAGGAGCAGGACTGCTGGATCCTACGGTACTTCTATTTCTAGCTTTTTAAGGAAGTGCCAAATTGATTTCCAAAGTGGCTGTACCATTTTACTTTCTCACCAACACTGTATAATTGTTCCAGTCTCTCCACAACCTCTCCAGCATTTATTATTTTGTGTTTTTTGGATTAATGCTAGCCTCGTTGGGGTGAGATGGTATCTCATTGTAGTTTTGATTTGCGTTTCTCTAATGGCTAATGATTGTGAGCATTTCTTCATGTGTCTGTTAGCCACCTGAATGTCTTCTTTGGCAAAGTGCCTGTTCATATCATTTGCCCATTTTTTAATTGGGTTGTCTTTTTGTTGTTGAGGTTTTGCAGTATCTTATAGATTTTAGAGATTAGACACTGATTGGATTTGTCATAGCCAAAATTTTTTTCCCAGGCTGTACGATGTATTCTTACTCTTTCGGTGAAGTCTTTTGTGAGCATAAGTGTTTGATTTTCAGGAGCTCAAAAGTTATCTAGTTTCTCTGCTGATGTTTCTCCATTGTTACTTATGGTTTGTATTCTGTTTATGCCATTTGTTAGGGCTCCTAGCATTGTCCCTATTTTGTCTTCCATGATCTCTATTGTTTTGAATTTTACATTTAGGTCTTTGATCCATTTTGAGTTAGTTTTTGTGCATGGTGTGAGGTATGGGTCTTGTTTCAGTTTTTTGCAGACGGATATACAGTTATGCTAGCATCATTTGTTAAAGAGACTGTCTTTTCCCTAATTAACGGACTTTGGGCCCTTGTCAAATATCAGCTGCTCATACGTGGATGAATTTATGTCTGGATTCTCAATTCTGTTCCATTGGTCTATGTATCTGTTGTTGTACCAGTATTAGGCTGTTTTGACTACCATGGCGGTATAACAGTTTCTAAAATGAGGAAGTCTGAGGCCTCCCATTTTGTTCTTTTTCTCGGGTAATGCTTTACTTATCCAGGGCCTCTTCCCTTTCCATATGAAGTTGGTAATTTGTTTCTCCATCTCATTAAAAAATGCTGTTGGAATTTGGATTGGCAAAGCATTGTATCTGTAGATCGCTTTGGGTAGAACTGACATTTTCACAATTCCTATCCATGAGCAAGGTATGTTTTCCCACTTATGCAGGTCTCTTTTGGTTTCTTGCAGTAGTGTCTTGTAGTTCTCACTGTATAAGTCTTTTCTGTCTCTGGTTAGATTTATTCCTAAGTATTTTATCTTCTTGGGGGCTACTGTAAATGGTATTGATTTGGTAATGTCCTCTTTGAGGTTCTCTTTGTTGGTGTAAAGGAATCCAACTGATTTTTGTATGCTTGTCTTGTATCCTGAAACTTTGCTGAAATCTTCTATTAGTTCCAGTAGTTTTCTTGTGGATTCTTTGGGGTTTTCT